TTCTTCTTACTTCTCACTCCTCTCTCGCTTTCCCTTTCCCTCTCTCTCTCTCTCTCTCTCCTCTCCCACAACTCGCCTCGGCCGCAAAATATAGATCGAGCTCGTCCCATCACCGGCCGACGACAAAAAGATCATCCGCGCTGCCCAACCTCCAGACTCGACCTGCAGCCCCTTCCCCTCTCTCGACAACCTAGCAACATCGTCACCCCTGCCAGCTCCCGCGGCACTGGCTCGACCCCGCCTGCCCGCCCCTCGCACCTCACACCTCGCACCTCGCACAGCAGCCCGCGCTCGAACCACCCCTCTCGGCCAGCGACATCGATCGACCTCAACAACCCACCAGAAATCCCGACGCGCGCGCAACCATGGCGGAAAAGCCTGCGGTCCTCATCATCGGAGGCCTTGGCTACATCGGCCGCTTCCTCGCCCTACATATTCACCAGAACAATCTCGCTTCCGAGGTCCGCATCGTCGATAAGGTTCTGCCCCAGCTGGCCTGGTTGGCACCCGAGTTTCAAGAAGCATGCGCCGGTGACAAGTTTATGCAGGCCGATGCCAGCCGAGAGCGTGAGTCCTTTCTTCTGCCCATGATTATTGTTGCTCTGTTTCATCATGCGTGATCCGGCCCCAAAATCGACTCTGACCACAAGTGCAGAGTCCCTGGCTCGTATATTTGATCGCCCCGGTGGCAAGGAGTGGGACTACGTCTTCAACTGCGGCGGCGAGACTCGCTACTCCCAGGAGGACGAGGTCTACAAGCTCCGCTCCCTCGGCTTGTCTCTCGCTGTCGGCAAGGAGGCTGCCCGCCGCAAAATCAAGGTCTTTGTCGAGTTGAGCACCGGCATGGTGTACAAGCCCGACTCGGCTCCCAGCAAGGAGGGCGACAAGCTCAAGCCCTGGAGCAAGATTGCTGTTTACAAGCTGCAGGCGGAGGAGGAGCTTTCCAAGATGGAGGGGTAAGCTGCATCCGTTCCGTTCTTTCCGTACATGACGCTAACTAGGTGGCCAGGCTCAACCTCGTCATTGCGCGCCTCGCCCATGTCTACGGCCCGTATGCCTCGCAGTGGGTCGCGACCGCGCTGTGTATGGCGCGTGTCTACCAGTCCCTCGGCGAGGAGATGAAGTGGCTCTGGACCAAGGACCTGCGCACCAACACGGCACACATCAAGGATGTGACGCGCGCGCTGTGGGCCATGGCCACGTGGTACGAGTCCTCTGGTGGCCGGGCCGCGTGGGATGCAAAAGCGCACGGCAACCCCGTGCCGACGTTCAACGTTGTCGATAAGGGCGTGACGACGCAGGGCACCATGTCTAAGATTGTCGGCGAGGTGTTTGATATCGGTACCGGCTTTCAGGGGCAACTCATCAGCACCTTTGCGCGGCTGAGCATCGACAGCGTTGTCGACGACGTGAACGACGAGTTGTTGGGCCCGTGGGCTGAGCTGCTGGAGAAGGCGGGCATCGCGCGGCCGGGTCCGCTCACACCATTTTTGGAGAAGGAGCTGCTGAAGGATACCGACCTGAGTATGGACGGCGCGCGATTGGAGCAGATCGTCGGGTTCTCATATGAGCGGCCCAAGATGACGAGGGAAGATGTCGTCGAGGTGATTGACAGCTACAAGAAGATGAAGTGGTGGCCATGAAGGCGAGGAGGAGCGAGGACCACGAAGACGCGACACGCTTGTACGATTTTATGGAGACGACCGTCGAGGCATCGAAAGAACGAAGAGAAGCTGAGAGACGAGAGGCGGGAGGCAAAAAAGACGAGAGACGAAAGAAAGCGATGCAGGGCCAGAAGGAGGGGGCTTGCCTGCGCATCTTGTACCATAGGATATCCGGTTGGCTTTTTCTGTTTTGCTTTCACACTCGGCCCGGCCCAGGCCCCGGCATTGTACACAGCGCGTAATACTAGCATATATACATACACTCTTGGTCGGCTCGACGCGACATGCCGTTTGTTCCGCTGACAACAAGTTGGAGTTGCAGACCATCACTGGACAGTATGACAAACAAACGGAGGGTAGAGCAAGCCACTGGGTCGAATGGGGTCGCAGGGATGTCCTTGCGGCCATGACGTCCGTGTGTCTTCACATGTGATCCGGGGCCTAAGCAGCGGTGCTTGCGTGCGGGTATTCGTGTGTCAGGGACGCAGAAGCCATGAGTCGGCAGGGCAAACCATGACTGTGAGCAACTACCAAAGGGACCAAACAAGGCATGGAGGTCGTTGGTTTTGGGTTGCGGCGTGGACGCTGTTGGACCACTGAGGGTGTCGGTTACAGTCGCATGACCCCGCTCCGGCCATAATTTGGAGGGGGTGGTCGGTTGGAGGGGCATCATTTGATGAAGGGTGGTGGTGGTAGCATTCTTGGAAAGGCGTGACTGATGGGGTTCTAGAGGCATGGCGAGCACGGGATGGTCGAGTGCCTCGGCTGGTGTGATATTGCTGCGGTGGTGGTGGCCAGGGGTCGGCATGTTAGTTGTTCGTGTTGGTGTTGTTCCTGAGAGCTGGCGACACTGGCATTGGGACGGGAGGTGTTGCTCGACATGGAGGATAGCCGGCGGAAGGTCGTAGGGTATAAATCTGGCTCAAAAAGTGTGGTTTGTGCGAGAAAGGGCATATGGTGAGGGTCTCGTTGGGATATTTGCCTTGTGTCGAGCGTTTGGCAGCAGCAACTCAACGTATTCAAGCCGGCCGTTGCTGTTTCCTCTACTTCGCCTGAAGGCGCTGGCATCAGTGGCAGGTGTTGGTGGTTGTTCCCCGCAAATTGGAACGGGCAAGGTGCCTGATTCGGCAGGGGCGCAGGGGCAGTGATCATTAGGGGCCTTGGGGCGTGCCAGGCGGAGGGAAGGTGGGATGCGGCACAACGCTACCTTGTTCCTTCTCACGCCTCAGACCTCAGATAGTGGGAGGGCAGGTACAATGGCGGGGCTGCGCGAAGGCCAAGCCAAGAAGCGCCCAGGATGATCTCATGGGGTTACGTGCGCGTGCGCCGCACCTAGTGTCACAGTCCCGGGCGCAATTGTCCCTTCCCTCCGATCCTCCGAAGCTTCGACGCACCTACTCACTTCAGGCAAGAACCTCGGCCGGTGAACCAACTTCTTCTTGTGACAGTCGACCCTCCTGAAAGCGTAACAGAGCGAGTCGAGTGCGGAACCCAAGTACTTAACACTGACACAACGTCTCGCCTATACACACCGCCCTCTCCTCTCCCTCCGTTTATTTCTCTCCCTAAGGTGCTTGATCACATCACCCCAGCACCGTCTCTACAAGGCCTCCTTTCTCTCAACTCATCAATTATCCCGTAATCACCCCAGGCTACCCATCATCATGGCTGCTCCCGCCAACATCACCATCAAGAACCTCTCGGGCAAGTGGCAGATGGTAAGTCATGTTTGGCATTGTGCCCCGCGCAACGCCGCACGAAAAAAAGTACCCCGCCTTTCCCAGAGCCCCCACGTCGTTGACATGCTTCCAGAACAAAACCCTCTCCGACTCGCCCGAGCCCGCCCTCGCTCTCCAGGGTATCGGCTGGATGGTCCGCAAGGCCGTTGGCCTGGCGACTCTCACCCTCCACGTCAAGCAGTACGAGGGAGCACCCAAGCCCCCGTCCACCGCCACGGACCCTGTCACCCACATCGACATTGACCAGACCGCCACGGGCGGCGTCAAGGGCACCACGGAGAACCGCTGCCTCGACCTCGAGTTCCGCGAGCATGCGGACTGGCTCTTTGGCAGCTGCCGCGGCCAGAGCGACTGGCGGTCCCCTGCCGAGATTGAGGACGAGTTCCTGAAGAAGGGCTGGCTCGAGGGCGACGCCGAGAGCACCGGCCCCCAAGGCAAGAGCCACGTCTACAGCCATGTCGAAAACGTCGACAACGGCTGGACGGCCACCCAGATCTGGGGCTTCCAGGAGATCGATGGGCAGAGGCGCTATGCCCGCAACATTGTCGTTGCCAAGGACGACAAGAAGGTTGAGTTCCGTCTCGTCTACGACTACCTCGGTGAGAACGACGCGGCTTAGATGAAGAGAGAAGGGGCGTCGGGCGCGACGTGGGGTTGACATTGGTCCCCCCACGAGTACCTAGTTTCCTAGCATAATGAATCTCATGATATCCCCACGAGTGGCCACTTGAAGAGCCGTTCGACAGACAGAAATGAAGAAATTGACCGTTTCATTCATGAGCAGTGGCATTGTTGAATGATGCCTGTCTGCCGTCCAGAGTTGCCGACGCCGTTGATGCAGCCCGCTGTTTCCTTAGAATTCCCGTTTCCCTGTGGCCGTTGCTCGTCCTTTCCTGCATTACAACCTGTTCTCACCAATGTGTCGCTACCTGTCTTCCTCCTTACTCCCCTTCTCCGCCATATCCTGCTCGTTCCCCCTCAGGCCGGCCTCCGCTTGACAAACTCCTCGAGATCCCCCACAGTCGCCACGCCGAGCACGAACCGCCTCTTCTCGTCCGTGACGACGGCGAACGTGTTCCGCTCGCCCTGGCCGACGCCGTTGCCGCCGCCGGCCTCGAAAAAGGCCTCGAGCTCCTCGAGCGGCGTCTGCATGGTGATGACCTTGTACGTGCGGCCCTTACGCTGGAAGCGCACCATGGCCTTAGCAAGCTCGTCGTCGGGCCCCACCTTGCCGGCGTCGAGGAGGGCCTGCAGGTGCGGGATGGCGAGGTAGCCGAGGAGGGCGCGCGTGTGCCGGTCCGTGATGGTGAGGTGCGTGTAGTCGCGCTCAAAGGCCGAGAGGAGCGCCAGCGAGATGGGGTCCGAGGGGTGCAGGGAGAGGGCGGCGGGGGGGTCGAGGTCTTGGACGGTGGCCTGTCCGTGGCCGTGTCTGTGTTAGCCTGCTGGATCTGGGGGACGGGCAGATGGGACGAGACGAGGGGTACGTACGCCGCGGTATCGTGAGGACCACTTGGAGACAAAGGGCTGGGAGGTCGCGGAGGCGGCGGGGTTGGGGCCCGTGGGGACGGTGGAAGTGGCGGCGGCGGCCATGGTCGGTGTCCCGGTCGTTTCGCTGCTATGAGGGGCCTGTGGTGCAGAGGCGAGTCGGCCGCGGTCGCTCGGTTCGCGCAAGGTCGTGTGCTCGGAGGAGGGCGGGAGTCTGAAGGAAGGCGGGAGTCTGAAGGAAGGCGGGAGTTTGGAGGAGGGCGGGAGTCTGGAGGGGGACGTCGAGGATGGAAAGTTGAGGGTTGGATAGCCATGGCAGGTTGGTTCGAGACGGCAGTTTGGCGCCAATTTTCTATGGCCAGCGCAAGTGGGGTTGCTTCTTAGTGTGGGGGTTCCTCATCGCCGTCCCGTCACTTTGCACTCATCCGGGTTAGTGGTCTTGCTGGTGTGATGTTTTGGTCAATTGCTGTTCTAGCGCTTGCATATGAGTATTGAGGCTCTTTAATTTAGTCATGGCTGATTATTCTTAAGGCTCTTCAGAGTTGTGCTTCGTCGAGGCTGTTCGCTAACGTGGTGCTTATTGCTGTCTCTTGGCTCGTGAATGTCGTCGTCTGCCACAAGCCATGGACGAATTACGGCAGTCTTCCACAGACCGAATGGAGGATGACATACTCGAGAGTGCTTCCGCAATTAATGGACAAATGTTTTCATATGTAAAATCTGTGTTCTTGGGCAGGTGTATCCTGATGAACCAACCCCACTGCGAGTTGCTTCGCCTGTCAAGCCAAGTGATTTCGTTTGCTCAGGATGGTGTCTCTTCCAAACAGAACGCTTCCATGGACTGAAACATCTCCAAAGTCGATGATTTCTGTGTTCAAATATCCATACAATCTTTGGAGAAGATCAAGTCGTTTGGAGTGTCAACTGGTCTTGCCGGCCTGCCTGCTTTGCTCCCCCATTTGTGATGGTACTGATGTGTGTCGCGGGACAAAATGAAGTCGGACCTGAAGCAGCCCATCCGAGTAAGAAATTATGATTAAAGAAGGTTACAACCAAGTCAGTCCTATATCCAATCACTTATGCATCTCGATTGTTCGACATCGGAGGCTTGTTATGTCCTTGGGCTGGCATTACTTGTTCTCACAAGCGCCAAATGTACTGAGAGCCGTCCTTATCTTGCTAGGACTTCGTATTTTTGAGTGTTTCTCAACGACATTCAAACTCACATAGCCAAATGCTCAGTGTTCTCGTCAGCTTGGCTATATTCCCGAGGACTGCCAGTCAACCGCCGCAAGATGTTCTTTCGATCTCGACAGCGTCCCCATCACTGGCGGCTGCAGGGTGACGATGTGTGACAGTGTTTAGAAAAGTAGTACGGAGGCATCTCGTCATTCTTCGCTCAAGAATTTCTTAATTCGAAGCTAAAACTCGAATCGGCGAGGTTGGCCAACGCTCAGGAGCGTCACTTTAGGGAATAGATTTTCACGACGACGGTTACAATGTTCGATACGTTTTCAAGATTGTAGCAAGGACCTTACAAAGAGATACTCTATAAAATTGACGTTTAGGGGGTGTGGCTAGCAACATCATCTCGGTGTATACCATATTCTTCTCTCCTTCAAGCTGCCGTAAAAGGAGTTTTGACAACAGGTGAGACCGGCAAGCCTGTGGCTGTGATTGTGAACTAGACACATGGCATTAATCCTTGATGACAACCAGATGAATGCTCCTGCCCCCGGGCAAAACCCAACATGTTCCTGCTCCCGGCGCACGGTATACTGCTTCCACGCTAAGCTTGCCGAACGGAGCCGGCTCCGGTCATGGTGGGTCGCCGGGCATGACAGACTGATGATTGCCCGCTGCCGGTCATCTCCCGTATAGCCAAAGAAACGAAGAACCATCATTGACGAGACCGTGTAAGAAAATTGCCGGCCAAAGAGTACATTGCCATTGGCTTCACATAAAAGCAGCTTAACCGCGTGACACCGCAGACGTGCATGACACGCCAAGAGCTCATGGCCTTCTCATCGGAGCCTTCACGAGATTCATACGGAACACAGGTGGACAGGAAATCAAGGGCATCCCTGGAGAAACCTCCATACGCAGGTGACCACATACAATCCCCGATGAATAGCTCACGCTAAGGTTATACGGCACCTAAGATACAGGCCCCTGCCGCGAACACGGCGCAGCTGGAATCCTTCGGTGAACCCCCGCCGACCTTTTCCGACCCAACCAATGGCCCTGCACCGTCGTCTCTGTGTGACACGCATCCCACGACCTATCAAGGCGCCCCGAGCTCCAGCCTTGTGATGTCACTCTGAGAGCTCTCCCCTCACAGACCTCCTCACAGAGGGAAGGAACGAAGCGAGCGTCGTACCTGCCCGACCTGACCTCACACGCTTGACTCCCCATGCCATTTCCTATCGCAAGCTGCTCCCTCAGCCTCGAGACGCCTTCATCCTGATACGCACGTGCAAGAGCCTCAAACCTGCGCCCAACGACAACCCTCCCCATCCGAACGCTTCCGAATTGGGGACCCTCGCCCAATTGACCTGTCACCTGTTACTATAGCATTCCTGCGACGCGGACTTAAGGCAAGAGTCACCTCCTCCCGAAATCACGCACACGGACCTACCGGAGACTCGTGTCCGCTGCTCGTTCATCTGTCGCAGCTATC